CCAATCCTTCTCTTGCAACCAAATCCTCCATGCTGCCCTGGAGTGGACAGATCTATGTACAGTGTGATAATCAACAGAAGGTATTCATTTCTGGAGATTTGTGTGTTATGTCTGACTGAAGAGGGAATGTACAAGTTTTCTATGATTGTTTTTAAGTTCAAGACATGGTTTCTAGTTCATAACATGCTGTTGAATTTACAGTAATGAACTTGCATATGGAACAACACATTTCAGTTTGTTTGTTTTTTTTGTTTTTTTTATATTCCAAAGAAACTCAGATTATGTGAATTCTTCTGTACAAAATGGAGATATACAATACAGTGCTGTTCAAAAGTTTGGGATCAGTAAGATTGAAAAAAAAAAAAATTATTATTTTTTAAGAAGTTTCTTATGTACATCAAGGCTGGATTTATTTGCACAAAAATTTTGTGAAATCTTACTGCAATTTAAAATAAGTTTTCTATTTTAAAGCAGCACTATGTAACTTTTGGCGCTCTAGACATTTTTCTTAAATATATACATGCAGGTGTTTGTATTTATATATACATAATAAATATACACAGCACACACACATTATGTAAACAAAAACTTTTATTTTGGATGCGATTAATCGCTATTAATCATTTGACAGCACTATTTAAAACGTCATTTATTCCTGTGAAGCAAAGCTTAATTTCGAGTCTGCAGTGTCACATGATCCTCCTGAAATCATTCTAATATGCTGATTTATTATCAGTGTTGGAAACTGCTGCTTAATATTTTTTGGGACCTGTGATACTTTTTTTCAGGATTCTTTGATGAATACATTTAAAAATAACAGTTTTTATTCAAAATAGAATTTTTTTGTTACAGTATACACTACTAATCAAAAGTTTGGGGTCATGTGACACTGAAGGCTGGAGGAATGGCTGATGAAAATTCAGCTTTGCATCACAGAAATATATTACATTAAAAAATATATTCAAATAGAACATCTATTTTAAATTGTAATAACTTCTCAATATTACTGTATTTTTGATCAAATAAATGCAGCCTTGGTGAGCAGAGATTTCTTTCAAAAAAAAATTCTATAACTTTTGAACTGTAGTGTGAAATAAAAGTTTTTGTTTACATAATATATGTATGTGTACTGCGTTTATTATGTATATATAAATACACACACATTCAGTATATATTTTGAAAATATTTACATTTACATTACATTTATATTATGTATATATTTATATTTAATAACTTTTTTGTGTGTATTGTGTAATGTGTATTGATGTGAATTGATGTTCGACAGTAAACACTATGGGATGCAATACAATTTTTGGAAGAAATTCCAACAATAATGTGAAAATTGAATAAAATCAGCATATTAGAATGATTTCTGAAGATCATGTGACACTGAAGACTGGAGGAATGATGCTGAAAATTCAGTGCTGCATCACAGAAATAAATTATATTTTAAAGTACAGTATATTAAAATTGGAAACCAATATTAGAAATTGCAATATTATTTCACAATATTACTGTTCTGTATTTTTTATCAAATAAATACATCCTTGATGAGCATAAGAGACTCCCTTAAAAACATAAAAAATCTTACTGATTCCAAACTTTTGAATGACTGTAGGTGCGCTCTCTGTAACGCCCATCCTTATGTCTCTTTCTCTAAAGTCCATTAAAGTTCAGATCCGGCAAGATCTGGCCATGGATGTTTCTGCCACTAGCTGTGCCATGGACCGCTCTTTACGCCCACTGCCACCTCAAGCTGAGACCCCTTTAGTACCAGGACAGAAACCTCAGAGCAGCAGCACCCAGCCTCAGGTTGAGATCAAGAACCGAACGCTGGTCTTCCCTCCCACTGCCTCTGGAGAATCATCAGGTAAGTACAGAACCTGTCAACTGAATATTTTCTTTTCTTTGTACAGTAACACAATTTTGATTGATTTGAGACACTGACTTTCAATAGGATTCTGAAATCTTGGCCTATTAAAATGTAAAAGGAAAACAATTGTTTTCTTTGTGCAGAATGTTCTCTGGAGGTGGAGAATCATGGAGAGGAGGTCAGATGGTACCTCTCTTCATTTGCTCCTCCATATGTAAAGGTGTGTGATGTTGGCAGTTATGTAAGAATTTTGAAAGCTTTCGTTCCTGAGGAATTTATTGATTTCGACTTCACTGTTGTCTGTTGGATCAGGGTGTCGATAGCGGTGGAGATGTTTATCGTGCCACATACTCTGCCTTCAGATGTGAGAAGGCATCTGGGACTCTGGGGATTCAAGAGAGGATGCAGGTAGGGGTGTGGATGTGTCAAACATCATCTCGTCTCTGACAGATCTAGAATTTTCTTTCAACTGATTTAAGTTTTCTGTTTTGTTTTGTTTTGTAAAAAGGTTCCATTCGCTTTCCTTCCACGTGACCGGGGAGATTATGCACAGTTTTGGGATTTGGAATGTCACCCAACAGCCAAACCTCAGCACAAGAGCCGTGTTCGCTTCCAGTTGTGTGGCACTGTAAGTCTATTGAATGCAGAGTTCTACTTTTTCCTGTATGTGTGTTTCATAGCTAGGCTAAACTAATGTAAATGCCCTATTATTTTGCCTACTAACAACATTGACTATTAGCTAAAAGTGCCATTTCAGTCATAAATAAAGGACACTAATGCAGAAGGAGGAGTGGTAGTACTTCCCTGTTGAGTGTATTGATTCATGTGTGCAGGGCATAAGAGCAGGAGAAGCATCGAGTGTTAAAGAAAATTGCTCCTTGGTGAAAACGGAAGCCACTGTGAAGAACAGGAAGAGACTGGATTCTGCAGGCTCAAAGACTGGGTAAGGCTTGTATTCCTGTTAGAAATCTGACCTGTAGAGGAAGACTTCTTTCACTGCTAAAATGTCATAGGCATATTTTGCGGTTTATTTCTAATTCATTCAGATCTTCAACTGAGAATCAGAAGAGGGGCGTTTATGCACCTCAAAGTCTGTACACATTTCCTGCCACACGAGTGGGCGCCACCAGCACACTGAAGGTTAACTTCAGAAATAACTCCTCCAACACACATGAGGTGAGAACATAGGGCTGCACTAGTCAGCACACTAAATAAACAAAAGTCAGATGACATTTGTAAAGTGGCAGCAGCTAATCAAGAATGTCACTTTACAGTTGTTTAAAGTCCTGTTTCTATGTGGAAAAACGCATTAAAGCAATAGTTAACTCATAAATTAAAATGTACTTGCATTTAGATGTAGATTAGTGTTTTTTTCCCCCATCGGAATAGATTTTGAAAAATTTTGCAGTACATCCCTTGCACACCAAAGGATCCTCTGCAGTGAATGGGTGCCGTCAGAATGAGAGTCCAAACAGCTGATAAAAGCATCATAATAATTCACAGTAAAGTACGTCTGTGAAGTGAAAAGCTGTGTTTGTAGTAAATTCATCAAAACTTTTCAAACTTCAAGTCCTCAATATTATTGATTTCTCCAGTTAAAGTCATTGATTTCATTTGATTCAGGTGAGAAATGTGAAAACAGTCCAAAATAGATTTCAAAAAATTTTTTTACATCAACAAATATCGATTATGGACTGGTATTTTGAGCATTAACTGATGGACTGTGGATTACTGTGATGCTTTTATCAGCTGTTTGAAATCTCATTCTGACGGCACCCATTCACTCCAGAGGATCCATTAGTTGGCAAATGATGTAATGCTAAATTTCTCCATCCATTCTGATGAAGAAACAAATGTATCTACATCTCGGATGGCCTGAGGGTGAGTACATTTTCTGGAAATGGTCACTTTTGGGTGAGCCATTCCTTGAAGAGGTCACAGAGCAACCATGTAAATATAAAATACATTCAAGTCTAACAAATTCAGTCACTAAATGGTCTTTGCATGTTGATGAATGCAGTGTTATTACTGCTTCTCCTAAATGTCTGGCATGAAACTTACTTTGAGGTTTTCTAATTGACTTGCAGCTAAAATTCATAAGTCCTAAAGAGCCTTTCCACATCAAGCATTCAAATTATTCTCTAAGGTGAGTCACAGTCTCTCTTGCTTACTCTTTCTCTAGTAGTAGAAAGTCTTACTGTTTGCACAAGCCAATTTAAGGAAAAATAGGAAGTAGAAAGATTTTATTGAAGCGTTCCATGTCACTTCCTGCTGCCAATGCCTGATGTGAAGGCTCTGATTCAGAGCTCAGCCACAGGTCAGATTTGTGTGTGTGTGGTTTGTGGCACAACATGCATTTTACTATATGCATGTATTTGTGTACTAAATGTGTGGTGTCATAAATCATTTTTAGTTTGAGTTACATTTTAAACTGACAAACTTCTTCTAATATTTTGTTATTCGTACTATTATCAGTTGGCGAGAGAATGTGGAAATGTTTTTGCAGTTTCTTGTGTTGATGTGAAATAAATTCACTTTCTTTCCATTTACTTTTTTGCTCTGTAGCATTACAAGCTAGTTTGGTTTACTATATCTGTATGTGCTTTCCTAGATCACAACACTACATCAACCTCCCTGTTCAGTTCGTGCCAGCCACTGCAGGCCAGCTTTCCGGCACACTACTCGTACAGACGGACACAGACGCTAAACTGACCGTAGAGCTCAGTGGAGAAGCCTTGCCATGAAGACCAGCTCAACAGCCACTCACCGCCAGCAGAGGACACTGCAGGACGAAGCTAATAATCAAGAGACATTACTTGAACTTTTTTTCGTCTAAATGCTTTGCAAAAGAATGTCTGACTCTGTGTTTTCCACCACCCTAGGTTTTTGTGATTTTGTTGACAGCTATCATCATATAGTTACGGCCTTTTGGATAAGCACCATACAATATGGATATTATATATCCAGAATCACAACTTTGTGGTGGCAAAAAAACAAAAATTAGTTTATCACCTTTCTATCACTGATGTAAAAGATATCAGTTTTAGTCATTTTCTAGGATTTGTTTCCTTTTGTGTAACTGTTCTTGGCCTATTAAAATGTAAAAGGAAAACAATTGTTTTCTTTGTGCAGAATGTTCTCTGGAGGTGGAGAATCATGGAGAGGAGGTCAGATGGTACCTCTCTTCATTTGCTCCTCCATATGTAAAGGTGTGTGATGTTGGCAGTTATGTAAGAATTTTGAAAGCTTTCGTTCCTGAGGAATTTATTGATTTCGACTTCACTGTTGTCTGTTGGATCAGGGTGTCGATAGCGGTGGAGATGTTTATCGTGCCACATACTCTGCCTTCAGATGTGAGAAGGCATCTGGGACTCTGGGGATTCAAGAGAGGATGCAGGTAGGGGTGTGGATGTGACAAACATCATCTCGTCTCTGACAGATCTAGAATTTTCTTTCAACTGATTTAAGTTTTCTGTTTTGTTTTGTTTTGTAAAAAGGTTCCATTCGCTTTCCTTCCACGTGACCGGGGAGATTATGCACAGTTTTGGGATTTGGAATGTCACCCAACAGCCAAACCTCAGCACAAGAGCCGTGTTCGCTTCCAGTTGTGTGGCACTGTAAGTCTATTGAATGCAGAGTTCTACTTTTTCCTGTATGTGTGTTTCATAGCTAGGCTAAACTAATGTAAATGCCCTATTATTTTGCCTACTAACAACATTGACTATTAGCTAAAAGTGCCATTTCAGTCATAAATAAAGGACACTAATGCAGAAGGAGGAGTGGTAGTACTTCCCTGTTGAGTGTATTGATTCATGTGTGCAGGGCATAAGAGCAGGAGAAGCATCGAGTGTTAAAGAAAATTGCTCCTTGGTGAAAACGGAAGCCACTGTGAAGAACAGGAAGAGACTGGATTCTGCAGGCTCAAAGACTGGGTAAGGCTTGTATTCCTGTTAGAAATCTGACCTGTAGAGGAAGACTTCTTTCACTGCTAAAATGTCATAGGCATATTTTGCGGTTTATTTCTAATTCATTCAGATCTTCAACTGAGAATCAGAAGAGGGGCGTTTATGCACCTCAAAGTCTGTACACATTTCCTGCCACACGAGTGGGCGCCACCAGCACACTGAAGGTTAACTTCAGAAATAACTCCTCCAACACACATGAGGTGAGAACATAGGGCTGCACTAGTCAGCACACTAAATAAACAAAAGTCAGATGACATTTGTAAAGTGGCAGCAGCTAATCAAGAATGTCACTTTACAGTTGTTTAAAGTCCTGTTTCTATGTGGAAAAACGCATTAAAGCAATAGTTAACTCATAAATTAAAATGTACTTGCATTTAGATGTAGATTAGTGTTTTTTTCCCCCATCGGAATAGATTTTGAAAAATTTTGCAGTACATCCCTTGCACACCAAAGGATCCTCTGCAGTGAATGGGTGCCGTCAGAATGAGAGTCCAAACAGCTGATAAAAGCATCATAATAATTCACAGTAAAGTACGTCTGTGAAGTGAAAAGCTGTGTTTGTAGTAAATTCATCAAAACTTTTCAAACTTCAAGTCCTCAATATTATTGATTTCTCCAGTTAAAGTCATTGATTTCATTTGATTCAGGTGAGAAATGTGAAAACAGTCCAAAATAGATTTCAAAAAATTTTTTTACATCAACAAATATCGATTATGGACTGGTATTTTGAGCATTAACTGATGGACTGTGGATTACTGTGATGCTTTTATCAGCTGTTTGAAATCTCATTCTGACGGCACCCATTCACTCCAGAGGATCCATTAGTTGGCAAATGATGTAATGCTAAATTTCTCCATCCATTCTGATGAAGAAACAAATGTATCTACATCTCGGATGGCCTGAGGGTGAGTACATTTTCTGGAAATGGTCACTTTTGGGTGAGCCATTCCTTGAAGAGGTCACAGAGCAACCATGTAAATATAAAATACATTCAAGTCTAACAAATTCAGTCACTAAATGGTCTTTGCATGTTGATGAATGCAGTGTTATTACTGCTTCTCCTAAATGTCTGGCATGAAACTTACTTTGAGGTTTTCTAATTGACTTGCAGCTAAAATTCATAAGTCCTAAAGAGCCTTTCCACATCAAGCATTCAAATTATTCTCTAAGGTGAGTCACAGTCTCTCTTGCTTACTCTTTCTCTAGTAGTAGAAAGTCTTACTGTTTGCACAAGCCAATTTAAGGAAAAATAGGAAGTAGAAAGATTTTATTGAAGCGTTCCATGTCACTTCCTGCTGCCAATGCCTGATGTGAAGGCTCTGATTCAGAGCTCAGCCACAGGTCAGATTTGTGTGTGTGTGGTTTGTGGCACAACATGCATTTTACTATATGCATGTATTTGTGTACTAAATGTGTGGTGTCATAAATCATTTTTAGTTTGAGTTACATTTTAAACTGACAAACTTCTTCTAATATTTTGTTATTCGTACTATTATCAGTTGGCGAGAGAATGTGGAAATGTTTTTGCAGTTTCTTGTGTTGATGTGAAATAAATTCACTTTCTTTCCATTTACTTTTTTGCTCTGTAGCATTACAAGCTAGTTTGGTTTACTATATCTGTATGTGCTTTCCTAGATCACAACACTACATCAACCTCCCTGTTCAGTTCGTGCCAGCCACTGCAGGCCAGCTTTCCGGCACACTACTCGTACAGACGGACACAGACGCTAAACTGACCGTAGAGCTCAGTGGAGAAGCCTTGCCATGAAGACCAGCTCAACAGCCACTCACCGCCAGCAGAGGACACTGCAGGACGAAGCTAATAATCAAGAGACATTACTTGAACTTTTTTTCGTCTAAATGCTTTGCAAAAGAATGTCTGACTCTGTGTTTTCCACCACCCTAGGTTTTTGTGATTTTGTTGACAGCTATCATCATATAGTTACGGCCTTTTGGATAAGCACCATACAATATGGATATTATATATCCAGAATCACAACTTTGTGGTGGCAAAAAAAACAAAAATTAGTTTATCACCTTTCTATCACTGATGTAAAAGATATCAGTTTTAGTCATTTTCTAGGATTTGTTTCCTTTTGTGTAACTGTTAATATGAGCTCACCTGTTGATAAAAGTGTTATCACATAATGAAGATGGACGAATATTTTAAAGAAAGATCTGCATCACCATTAGTTGGAAATTGCACATGCTTTATACAGCACAAAAAAAATTGTTTTTTTCTTTTTCTTTTTGTGTGTCCTGTGTATTTATTTTAAATCAGTTCTTGATCAATAAAAATTCTTAATTTTATTTATTGGTAAGCTGTCTTTGTCTTCCACTAATGTGTATCCTAATTTAACTTATTTAACTTGTGTCCTATTTATTCACAATTGGTTATTTTATTAGGCAATCAACGTTTACAAAAAAGAAATACATGTTTATTTATAATCCATTCATTTTTTCCATTCAAGATGAGCATTAGATTTTTGAATTGTATTTGTTAAATTGTAATTTTTATTTTCATTAAAAGTAAAAGAGGGAAAAAGGCATTAAAACTAATTTTAAACATATCCATATGTCTGAAGATATACATATCTAGGGCCTAAATTTATGTGCAACACAGTTGTGTTATAATTTGATTATATTCATTCTCTAGTTTACACAGGCTCCTGCAATTCTTCCTTCAAAGGTTTTCAAACAATTACTTAAATACGTGATCTGTCTAACAGACTGTACATCCTTCTTTTCAATCAAACGACTGTTACCAAACAGGTAACGAAGCAAGGGAAGTTAGTTCAGTAGGATGTTCAATATGAAGACGGTTTTAGTCCATGATGGGATGTAATGCATCCATACCCTGAGTGTTTAACATTTCAAGTGTGCTGTCTGAAGAGGAGCAGTGCAGTGTGACGCTCTGCTGTAGTTGCACAGATAACTTACAGCACGCCATTTCCATTATTGTCCACAGAGGCAGTGGCTGCAGTGCTTGCACAGATTTTTGAATTGGAGCATGACTTCACATGGCAGTAACTCCTCCTGAAAAGACCAAATTCAAAGCTCATCTAGTTCTCCATCTGCTGTATCGAGTAGTTTGTTTTATATCTTATGCAGCAGCTTTGTAGGAACTGAATATCTGACCACGTGATTTAAAGCAGCAAATATCAGTTGTCATTCTGTTATAGGTAAACGTCTTTATTTTGCTTTTAAATGACAGAGTGAGATTCTGAGATTGTGTTTTTTATGTAACCATTAGATGGAGATATAATCTATAATATTATAAATATTTTATAAAGCTTTGCTGTTGTATGCAATCTGCTACATGGGTTCTAATTGTTTAGACTTTTTTAATACAAAAAGCATTATAGCCTATGTTTTGCTCCCTACAAAAAAAGAAAAAAACTAAAACTAAACATCTAAATATCATTTTACTAAGACATAATATTAGGAGAGTTGAAATGTATATGCAGTTTATCTAGGGAGTCTGCTATACTGCTATGAATATCTCTCAGTCACTAGATCAAAAGTCATTAGACTCATAAAACCAATCATTCCGGTCCTGATAAAATCTACTAAATTGCACTCATGACGTGAAACCTGTTCAACCAACCAGTGCGCAACTCCAATAACTTATCTTTTTTGTTTTTTTCTTTTTGCATAGCATCATCTGTTTTGACTGGGACTCTACTGGAAGGACCACAAGGAATACAGGTCATCTCTGACTTATCTCTATATATTATAGATCAGTGGTTGTAATATAGAAATTAAAATTCTTTCATTGCGGACGACTGAGCTTAACTTTTATTGAGCCTAGAATATGGCTTCAGAATATTACAGGGATAGTTCCCCCCAAAATTTGTTCCAAACCTGTACGATCTTCTCCGTTCTGTTGAACTCAAAAGATATTCTGAGGAATGTTAATAACCAAACAGTTGCCGGTAGCCATTGACTTCCTTTTTTTTCACTTGCTACACTCTAAAAAATGCTGGGTTAAATACAACCCAGTGCTGGGTAAAATAGGGACAAACCCAGCAATTGGGCTG